CTTATTGCTTTGTCTTCAAGTTTGTTAAAAATGGTAACTACATCTTGTAGCATGTGGTCAAATATTGATTAAGAAATATTGCCAATATCTTATCTTGATTATTGAAGGAATATCTTGACTTTATATTATTGAAATATTCTTATGGAAAATATGAGATAGAATATGTAATTTATGGTATGCACTATATCTTTAATGGATTTAATTTATTTAAATATATTGATGGGAAAATGGTTTAAGGAAAGGGGGATAATGGTTCATGCACATTTCATAATATTGATGGCTCATCTATGGAATGGATGATTCAGATCTCTCACCCCACAAGTCACATTGATCAACGATCCATATTCAATCTCAAGAAAAAAGCAAACTATGGGAAACACTAGACTTAAATTTCACTATAAATAGGGGTGTTATCCCTCATCTCAACACACCTCTCTCTCTCCCATAACTCTCTCTCTCTCTCTTCCCCAGGGGCCACGCCCCTCTCTCTACTCTCTTATTTCACTTTACTCTCTGGTTTTCTTTTTCTACTCTCTTTCTCTTATTAAAGGACCATAGGGGGCATGCCCCTCTCTCTACTCTCTAGGGGGCACGCCCCTCTCTCTACTCTCTTATTTTCTTTCTCTACTCTCTCTCTCTCCTAAAAGGACCCTAGGGTGTACGCCCCAACATAGAGACTCTCCCTATCTCAAGACCTAATCTAAAGGTTGGGAAATTAGGGTTTGAGCTTTATTATTTTGGAGTTAGGGTTTTATAGAGATTTAAGAATGGTTACCTAGTTTGGTCGAAATTAGCTTTTTCGGTTCGAGAGTGAAGCTGGACCACTGATCCCACGCCATTGAACGTAGCGACTCGATGTGGAGTGTAAAAAGCCCAGTTGAAGTAATCTCCGGCATATTTTTTTCTAATTGTTTATTCTTTTATTTTATATTCTCAAGTACAATATTAAGTTGGATGAATGACATCAAGTAGTTGAGATTTATTTTATTGATGTGCTATTTATTTTTGGAATTTTTATTGTTTGTAATAAGACCACCTATGAGTGATCTTGTTGCCAAAATTATAAGGGGTGATTATTATTAAAAAAAATAAAAAAAATTTGTATTTCCCCAGCATAAGATTACATAGGTCTTTCTTTTACATGTCGTCACTGCACTACTTTAATCCCAATACTTTAAATCTATTGAACACTCTACCTATTCAATATTAATGAGATTTTCAAAGGCCATGATCTAGACCAATACTCTTGCTGTTTTTTTTTCTATATTCTTCATCATTTTTCAAAATATTTCACATTATCGTGATCCTTATCATATATCGGATCTCGTAAAATATCTTGTTGTTAATCTAAGTATATATCAAAGACTAATGGTGAATCCTAATCTATGAAGTTCCCCACGTCTAGGTCTTCTATCGCCATCCTTAACACTCGACTCCACAGACGGAGCATGAAAATGAAAAGGCTTGTACTCAAGATCTTCTTAGGCTGCATGATCATTGTCTTGTTGATCATCGAGGCTCGCGAACTGCTGTGTCAGCTAATGTATTTGTTTTTCAAATTCCCCAATTCTATTTAGCTATGGGATCACCGAGTGGATCCACAAAAATCCCCTTTCTACGACCCCTTATTGTTGCCACGGGTACATCGAAATCACAAACTTTAGGAAAATATCAACAAAAAACTACTTAAATAAGCAAGATCTAAGTTGTTTTGGCAAAACTTGAGCCAAAATCAACAAACCCTAAACTCCCACTACAACTTCCCTATTTTGTTGTTGACCTAGGGCACAAAACAAATTGATGGTACAATAAATAGGTACAATACTACAATACTTTTTGTGTAGATAGTGAATTTTGATACCAATTTGATTCATGAAAATTTGAGGTAACAGTAAAATTAGTAAGAAATGAGTCAAACACAACACAATTAAAAAAAAAACTAGGGTTTATTCTCCATACCGCAAACTAGGGTTTCAAAACCTAACTTTTATTTTTTTCAATTCTAAAAACCATGTAGAATTGACTGCCTCAAGGCCCCACACGCCTCTTATCTATTATAATTCAATAGTCAACTATATTACATGTCTATATAATGATTAAAATGACCTATATATCATAACTTAAACTTAGTATTTATAATTATAATTTTACCCATGTGAACAGTACCTGTGAATAGCACTAATGAAATAAATATAAAAACTATAAAATCCTTATAATTCTAAAAAAATAAAAAAATCTATAAAAATAAATCCTAAAACTACAACTATAACTTACATGATTTGAAATTGAATAGAAATAAAAAATAATGATAATTTTCCCTCAATCATTAATGATGCAGATCAATATCTACTAACTACAAAATTTTAATTTTATTTTTGTTAATTTTATTTTTAAAGATGTGAGTAGTATTTTTATTTTTTTATTAGAATTAACTATTAAAAATAGGAATTTTAAGTTAGACCGACAAAGTCTACATTTTTTAGGGTAGTGCGAATTTTTAGAAGTATAAATCTTTTATTTTTGTAGGTCCCTTTTCTTCTTCTTCTTTTTGTATTGAGTTTTTTTTAGGAAACTTTGTTTGTTTGTTGGGGTATCCTTTTTTTGTGACATTGTCTTATCCTTTTCTTTATTACGTTTAAATTGGAATAAATATTTGGAGTAATTTGTTGGACGAGTCGATTTTTGTTGAGTTATTTTGAGAAGATGAAGCAAGTCAGTTTCATTTTCTTTTAATAAGTGCTAGTTGAGTTGGTATTTATTTATTTATTTATTTGTAAGTAAGTTCTTTCTTTACCTTTTTGGATAAGAACACGGTTCACATGATATGGAGATACCTATTAAGATTAATGTTGGAGCGGTAGACTTCTTTTTTGTAGGGAGTTTTAAAAAACAAGTTTTAAGTGAAAAAGAAAGCATATGCAACATATTAAAGATAATTTTGGTTAAATAAATAAAATAGAAGTTACTGTAGAGAGAACTTGGCTCTTCTGTCTTTCTTTTTGTCTTCTCTTATTATGTGGTGTGTCGTAGGACTCCGATTCTCACGGTTGTGCCTTCTTATTGCGGATTTCTTGTAACTTATTTGTTTTCCCATATTTGTGTTTTCTTTTGCGGATTTCTTTTGTTTTTTTTGTTATCTATCTAAAACTAGTTTGTATTTGCCAATTATTGTTGCTGAAAAATTTTCAACTATGTCATCAAGTTCTGAGACAAGCTTGCCTGGTTCATTTATAACGATTGTTGTTGCCGAAAAATTTTCAACCGTTCCCTAACAGACATGCCTTGTCCATCTACAGTATCGGGTAAGTTCATCTTAATCAGACCGATTCTTGGCTCCGAACTAATCAACTCTTACCGATTCCCGATTAAGGAATTTTGGATCACTAGTTACAGACTAAATTTTACAGCCACAAAAATGGTATATACACAAACGGCAGTAAAGATTCAAAGGGGAGCCAAAATGTTTGGGACCATTCCGTCATTCCTTAAATAATCGAGGCATTTTCGTTATTTCCATATTGTGCGATAACGGTCTCTTCGTCCTTCAACTAATCGAAGCATTTTCTCATCCCGTGCTCCACACTCGGGGATTTGAATTTTGAACGGTCAGAGAGAGAGAACAGTCACAGAGAGAGATGGGGAGTAGTATCAAACTCTCAACTAGGGTTTCATGGGCTGATAAAGTTGAAAAAGAGCCTGCAACACCAGCAACAAAAACATGGAGAACAACCCATTAAAAGGCCCAAGCCCAACCCCTTTGGCTCTGCGAGGCCCCGGGAGGTTGTACTCCAAGAAAGAGGCATTGTCTGTGATGAGCTCAACTTGAAATTTGATCACCATACCATTTCCAGGTATTCTCCCTTTTCTTGCATTGCATCCACTCTTATTTCATTTATTTCTATCTTTGTTCTTCCTGGTAACCCATATTTATTGACAGTGGGGTGTTTGGTTGAGTTCTTGAAATTTATGCATTCTTCAAAGTTGTTTATGGGCTTCTTTAGAAACTTTGGGTTTAAAAACGGTTGTTCTGTTATGGGCCACTGTTAACAGTGACTCTCCAAGCAATTTGTATGGGTACTAATTCCTATTCCCATTTACTGATTATAGTTGAATGGATTTGTTTTTTCGGGCTAGAATACTTTCATTATTTTCACTCAAGGTTTTGAGACTCGTATTGAGCCAGGTCTGAGGCCAGGTACTCGGCCTTGGCCGGAGGTGAGTTGCATGGGCATGTCCGACTTGCCCGAGTAATGCTCAGGGCCAAAAGCCCTAGAAATTTTGAAAAAAAAGAAAAAAATTAAACTAAAATGAAAATTGTGAAGGTCAAATAATAAAAAAAAACCCTGAAAAGCCAAATAAGCCTAAAGAAGTACATAAAACATGGATTTAAAGAAAATGATTTATAGTTGGTGACTAAAAAAGTTTAAAAAAAAAAGAAAAATGGCATAGGGGCAAACAAAATTCCATGTTTGCTAATGACATCTAAATTCATCATCATCATTAGAGCCTTGTCCCAATTATTTGGGACATGCTTAATAACATCCAAATTATATATAAAACTTTTATACATGGATCCCATATTTTTATATATCTTTTAGGATTTTTTTTTTTTCCTATGCCCCAAGATATGCCATGTAACTCAGGATAGCTTGGCTCGCCAAGAGGGCGAGTCCGAATGGACTGGGCTGAGTCTCGAGACGCTGATCAAGAGTCTCAAAATAGCAGTCATATTCTTTATAATTACGATCATGGGAATCGAGTTATGGATGCTTAGCACAATGTATCAGTGACTACACTAATAATATTACTTATAATCTATGAACTTTTCTACACATTGATTGATTGAATGAGTGGCTCTTTACTTGTTATGAGGAAATGTGGTAGTAGTTGTGGAATTAACGGGGCCAGGACATTGATACAATGATATGATTTTTGTTAATGGAAATTAATGAACTGGAGGCCTATTTATAGTTGGTATGCGTAAGATTAAAGCTACAATCTCTAGTTCCATGGACAAGCAAATTTAGGGCCTTGAACCAATTTTGAGATATCTACAACAAAACTTGATTATAATTAATCCCAAGGCATATAAATAGTACCATGTTTTTGTAGGAAATCTGTGAATCTTGAAAACTAGTTCACAAACAGCACCAAGTTTTATGACAGGAAGGAAATAATATCTTGTGAAAGCTACCATTTAAATACTCTATAGATAAACCAAACGAAAGTATGAGAATTTCAAAGGAGAGGAGGGGTGGGTTCACCCAAATTTTAGCATAAATAATATTATCCATTATGCAGATGAATCCAAAGTTTCTGAGACCAAAGATTATTGCATTTGTGGAATTTGAAACTAGAGATTTTCTTTTAAACGTCTCTAGCATACTTGAGTAGGGAGTTGAGGAAAACTAGTACATGTCAGAACATGTTTGTGGTTATTAATAAACAACTTGTGAGAAATACAAATGTTGGTAAAAGATGCCTGCATGCAGGTGATGATGCATAGAAACACACAGCCTATTTTGGAAAATGTGGGTCTGATGATTGCAGTGTTCAAAAACTTGGCGACTAGTTACTCAGATTTGGGAGGCTTTCGAACATGGAGCCAAATACACATGGGAAACGGCTTAGTCTAGTCGGTTCCCAATATTTTATCTTATTTACCTTTTTGGATCCAGCGAGAATTACAAACACCTATGTGTCTTTGTGCACACATGAACCTCTCCTATCATTGAACTCAGGTTTCAGTTTTAAGCAACAGAACATGTGGTATGAACTATGAAGCAAGGCTATGTAACTCAGCTCAGACCTCAGACTCGGCTCTTGGCCTGAGCCCAGTAATTGAGCAGAATTAGATTGGCTCTAAGTCTTGCACGAGCCCCAACAGAATAAGTAAAAGAAATCATGGAAAGTCTATAAACATTGGAAAATGTATACAGAATACGAATTGTTGAAAAAATTGATTGTTCTCTGATATATTTCAGAAAATACTAAAAAAGGTAAAAAAAAAGAGAGCATAGAATAAGAAAAGTTCACAAATCATCATAAAAATAATCATATTTCTAAGTTATATTTTAGTGAGTTTTTAACAACATTGTTGACGTTTTAAGAGTTTTTAAGAAGGAGGAATAGGCAGTAAAACTCACCTCGGAAGGGTGCCAAGTCTGAGTGCTGACTCCCTGAACACCGCCATGAAGGTACTAAATAAATACCAGCAACAAGCTGAGTACTGTACCTAACAATAGAGGAAAGGCCAAGAAAATTGAATGCATAGACATGTGAGAAGAAGGTATTTGAGGACTCTAGAATCAGATGAAATAGAGACATCACCAATTGTACTCAAGACTGAGCAATAGGGACGATAGGGACCTAATCTTATTATATCGACTAGAGAGAGATGTAGCAATCCCTCTGTCAACATCTCTCTCTCAGACTCTCTTTCTCCCCCAAATGAATGTGACTATTTGATGCCCCTTTATTTATTCTCATATCTGACAAGAAATCTGGCTTTTCTTTCACTCCGTTTCCTCTGCATACAGAGTATATATTTCAAATTGTTTGACATGCAATATGTGCGCTTTTGTTAATTTTAATGTGCAGCTCTTCTTTCATCAAACATCTCTGGTTTAACAGGCAGTAGTGACACAAGAAAAACAAATAGGGACATGCCATTCAAAACGAGAAAGGGACATGCAACACAGGTTTGATAGGAATGAGAAGCTCCAAGAAAACAAGCCACCTTCAACCCCTTTGCCACGGCTGCCAGCCACAAAAAACATGAGAGTGAGTGTTTAATATTTCTCATGGAGGAAAAGCATAAGGGAGAATTTCTCTCAGAGCAACAACGGTCTTGTACCGAACCCAAGCAAGAAAATGGCCCCAAAAACCAACCAGCTCTGCAAAAATCAACCATGGAAAATAAATTTCACTCAGACCAAAAGCACGAGAGTGAATTTCTATGAGAGTGAGACCATGAGAGAAAACTTCTATGAGAGCACCAGATGCCAAGCTCTGAACCCAAGCATGCCCATGGCTCCGAAAGCCAATCAGCCCTGCAGAAACCAACCCAGTATGGCAAATTTCTCTGATAACAAAAGCATGAGAGAATTTCTACTTCAACGAAAGCATGATAAAGAATTTCTCTCATAACACCAGAGCCCAAACTCTGAATCCAATCAGACTAATGGCCCCAAAACCCAACCAAGTACGTGAAAACCGACTGGAAACGCAGAAGCCATTCCCTGTTTCTGATATTCTCGACAAAAAATGGTTGCCTGACAATTATACTGGTCCTGTGGATGAGGTGCCTGGGCCTTACTATGAGAGATCAGTCATGGTTTGGCAACATTCCTATATGGGTGCTCATCAGATGATTGATAATGGCTGGAGAAGTTATGGGGCTGACATGAGATGTAAGGGCATGGGCATGAGTATTGGTGACCAGTTTTATGATGATATGAAGATGGAGAGGGCATGCATGGAGAGAAAGCAAAAAAGAGGGATGAGGCAACCACCAGAGAGGAGTCATGGCCATCAGAGGACGAGAGTAGAAGGTGGTTGACATTGGATTTAAGATCATTTTTTTTCCTTTCAGAAAAGGGGACTGAAAACCAAATGTGGTTTATAACACATCCGTCCATGGATGGATGAATCTAGTGGTCATGCACATTAGGTAAGCTCTTGAGTCTTGATGACAGACCAACCTTCAGTGAAGGAGGCATCATTTTGCTAGATGCATTTGCAATGCTCTCTCTCTCTGTGCTTTACATCAAAGTGCTGAATGTCAAGATATCCATATTCAGGATTACAGATCAGACAAATGATACTTTGATGTTATGTGCATCAGTTTTTGCAATTTTAACATTTTGATGGACAAAAAGGAAATGATATTAAGAGTAGAAAGGTGATGTGGTCTAGCGTGACTACTTAATTAGGATGTGTAACACAATTAGCGTGATTTTTTTTTATTCAAAAATTTTAAAATCACCTTACATTCAAGAGAAATTTATGGCATATCTTATTATTTTTTTATACTTAAAAAATGAGAAATGATCCTATAGGACCCTCTCCATTTATGTGTGTAGTACCCTAAAAGATGATCATTAAATTTGGCACAGATTTATAGAAAAGTTAAGTCTCAAACCCATGAGATAACTTTTTAGAGATCCGTGCATACTTTAATGATAATCTTTAGGGGTCCTACACACATAGGTGGGGGACGTCCTATAGGATCATTTCTCATTTTTTAGATATAAAAAATAATAAGATTTGCCATAAATTTCTAAGGTGATTTTAAAATTTTTGAATAAAAAAAAAGCGTGCAGATTGTATTTATAGAGGACAACTTAATTAAGTTGTCACGCTAGACCACATCAATTCTCTATTCTTAATATCATTTCCTCAAGTTGTCACGCTAGACCACATCAATTCTCTATTCTTAATATCATTTCCTCTTTTTCCATCAAAATGTTAAAGAGAAACAGAAATTTACAATTATGCAGTTGGAAAAGGTTCATTTACTTCATCAGAAACTGAAATTTACAATCCTCCCCGGGATTGTACTATAAAGAGAGACAAAACAATTTAAAAATCTATGCAAATATGCATATCTATAATAAAAAATCACCAGCAGTCCAATTTATCATGATAATGTGAACACAAGTTAAAATTGCTTCAAATACTCAAGGCAAACTCTAATATCTCCATCTTCCCAATCTATAATAGTAGCAAATTTATTATCATAAATCAGACAAAAAAAATGCATAATCTAAAAAGATACAAGAGGGCGGGGAAAGAGAGAGAGAGAAAGACGAAGGTGTACAGCACTGGGACACATTAATTTCGTATGTGGCACAGGGGGTGTGAGGGCATTGGAAGAGGGAAAAGTTTGGTTTTTTAAATGGGACCTTAATTTTTATATAAAACACATGATCTTGAGTTTCCCTTAATTTTTATATAAAAGACATGATCTTGAGTTTGAATAGTGACAAATAGGTAGAATGTTAAATAATTAATTCCTTACAAGTGTTTTGATATATATACATATCCATAAAAATGAGTTAGACATTCATATATATAGAGAGAGAAATGCTATAAAATAAAAACAAGTTAATTTTATAAAAGAGAATATGATTTATGCTTGAGCCTATGCATAAAAAATATAGAATAATCGGTGGTCCGATGTTAAGAGATATCAGACAACTGCAATTTTCTTTTTTATCTTAAATTTAGTTTGAAGTTAGAGACCTTAGACCGTGCTATTCATAAAAATAAAAATAATAATAATAATTAAAAAAAAAAAAAACTGTGAGCACGGGGTCGTTTGATCTTTTTGAAATCTCACAACCACATAATTGGGCAGTCAGATATTTAGGCTATTGGACAGCCTTTCAAAGAAATTAAAAAATAAAACAAAATAAACAATATGTATGATAAGGCTGCAAAAATGGAAGAAATAATTACAATAAAAAAGGAATATCCGACTAAAATTGTTGAAAAAATTTGGACAAACAATATTTTGTTAAAAGTATCTGGTCTACATGTAAATTTAAAATAGAATCTTTTAGTTTTGAGGCAAAGAAAATTCCAAATAAATAAAGGGAGAGGGAGAGATAGAAAGATCCATACTGGAATTCAAGGTGTGTGACAGAGGGATTAGTTTTAGAGAGAGAGAGAGTGTGTTTTATGGCGCTGTTATTTCCTCTTATTTAAGTTAAATATTTGCTATCAAAAATAAAAATATAAAGAAAAAGTTTATATAGAGCCAAGGCATAAACAATCAAATTAGATCCTACCTCAAAATTTTTTCTAGAAGAGGTTGTTTTGATACTCAAATATCCTCAAATTGATCATCACGATATCAAAATGTATGAATATGAGTAAAAAATGGATTTCAAGTTTTGGAAATAATACATCTTGTAACACATTATCATCAATTTTTAAGATTTTTAAGTTTTATAGATCTACTCGATCTACACTATTTTTTATGCTTTAAATTTTATAATTAATGATGAAAAAATATTTTAAGGCTATCACAAAGATTTTCAGTATTGAAACCACATTTCTCAATACTATTTGAAATTGCGCTTTACTTTGATTGTTTAGAGTTTCGGTTCTACACAAAAGTGTGCTTTATCAAGGCTTCGACGCTTTACTTTGATTGTTTAGAGCTTGGGCTATATAGAAACTGCACCCAAAATATAAAGTGAATATTAGAAAGTTTGAGACAAAGAGGATTACTCTCTTTATCCATGTACCTATGTTTTCCTTTTGGGTAATTAAGCGAGGATGACGGAACCTACTTGATTTTTCAAATAGTTAGTGGTTTTTGAAGCTGTTAGTGGGATCGAAAGGTACGACTTGCAACTGACTGAAGTATGGGGTGCGCAACCACCAGGATCTTAATCCCTTCTCATTAAAATCAATTTTCCATAAATCTAGAAAATTGATTTACTCTCTATCCACCTTGCTCTCATATTTCCCCATATATATATATATACACACACCACCGTCTCCAACTACCCCTCTCTCTTCTATAACATCTCTTTCTCTCCAAACGGATGAGATTTAACTCCTTTTTCGAGGGCACCTACCCTACCGTATCTCCTTAGATAGGGACCTCCTTTTATTCATTTGGGTTCAAAAAGGGCAATTTGCACATGGATGCCTCGGTAGGTGTAGAGGTAAGGTGCACCTTTAAATTTTATTATGGTATATAATTTCGATGCAAAATGTTTTTAAGATTATTTCAAAATTTATTTTATATCTAATTATAAAACTTTAAATTTAAAAAATGGCTAAAATCAAGTAGATCTATAGATATATGAAAATCTTGAAAATGGACAGTGTAGATAATATGTTGTAAAGTGTACTATTTCTGATACTTAAAATCTTTTTATTTTTCATAGTCATACATTCGATGGATTTTTGAGGGGCATCCGTAGTTCTACATTATAAAGTAGCAGCCTTATATAATTTTTTTTTAAAATATAATAACTTGTACTAAAGGCACAACATGCCTGGTGATAGTCGAGATAATTATATATTGAACGTGCCCGTTGTGACGGTTGAAAAGTGGATCCCACTAACTATTCAAAGGGTGAGGTTTGTACATGGTTTCTTCTAATTCGGCCTAAACCTTACGATAACCTGAAAATCCCATAATTTAAAAATTAAAAGATCCAAAAATAGTCTAAATCATGCAAATACATAAAATGGAGAATACCTCTAATATGATCAAGCATTCAGTGATTAGTTTTTTATTTTTTTTAGATGAATTGAGTCTAGGACATAGCGAATTAAGCCTGGGCTCTTTTCCTACTTAGTCATTCCTTTCCCACTTAGTCATTCCTTTCCCATTATCTTATCCAACAAAATTGTAGATATGGTTAACATGATCTCAAAATAATATAAGATCATATCAACCTTGATATGTTGAACATTCCCTAATTTATTTGATTATTAAATATCTTCGATTCCTGGTACCAATTTGAAATACCTAAAGTTGATATTTTTTGTGTAGCATCACTAAATAAATAATCTTGATAGTATAGTATCATTGAGGATTACGTTAAATTTTATTTAGGGAAAATATCTTATTATTCTCTATTTTAACTTCTATATCTTATCAGACCTAAGAATTAAAAATATTACTTGTAAGCAAAATGACTCCATCGTTTTTATTTTCCAACCCCTTAAACCCTTTTGGCCATATACTATTGACTTCAACAACTTATAAAATGACTATATATATATATATATATATATATATATATACTAACTACTACTCTCTCTCTCACATCATCATCTCTCTCTAAA